GTACGTCAATCAAATATTTGTCCTTCAAACCCCTTACAATCAATAACTAGGCTATTTGAGGGCGAGAATAAAGTGTAACAAAGACCAATTGTTTAAAGAATGCTATGGGCAATGCGCAGAGAGTGTTGAGCTATGTACATAATGCGGTAATACACGCATGAACGATGAGAGGGCGGTGATGTTTCGTGCCCACAGGTGAACTTTCCTCCCCCCCCCCCACACACACAAGCACAACACCCCTTAACACACACACACACCCCCCACACACAGACTTCACGCCTTACATATCGATGCGCAGGTTTTCACATGCAGTGACCCGTGACTTAACATTTGGCGCATGACTGGTCAAAGACATTGCTGGAAGCAATATCTGGAATAAAAATCTAGAGTCAGTAGTGGCGGTGGTCACATGACGCACCTGGAGTCAGTGGTGGAGGCGGTGGTCACATGACGCACCTGGAGTCAGTGGTGCAGGTGGTGGTCACATGACGCACCTGGAGTCATTGGTGGAGGTGGTGGTCACATGACGCACCTGGAGTCATTGGTGGCGGTGGTGGTCACATGACGCACCTGGAGTCATTGGTGGAGGTGATGGTCACATGACACACCTGGAGTCAGTGGTGGGTGGTCACATGACACACCTGGAGTCAGTGGTGGAGGTGGTGGTCACATGACACACCTGGAGTCAGTGGTGGAGGTGGTGGTCACATGACACACCTGGAGTCAGTGGTGGAGGTGGTGGTCACATGACACACCTGGACAGGACCGTCAAAGCCCCTGGGTAACACAAGCAGCGTTCCAGCCCCTGGGTAACACAGGCACCGCCCCATCCATATAGTGAAATGACACCTACCTCAGACGGGGGGATGTAGTGACTGGCTCCGCTGTGTAAAGCTGTCGGTACTTTCAGTTCTCGCCCTCGCTCCTGTGGACGAGAAAAGTTCAATGAATAAAACTAAATAATGGTAGCCACAAATGGTAGCCTCAGAGGGTAGCCTCAGAGGGTAGCCTCAGAGGGTAGCCTCAGAGGGTAGCCTCAGAGGGTAGCCTCAGATGGTAGCCTCAGATGGTAGCCACAAATGGTAGCCACAAATGGTAGCCTCAGAGGGTAGCCTCAGATGGTAGCCTCAGATGGTAGCCACAAATGGTAGCCTCAGAAGGTAGCCTCAGATGGTAGCCTTTGAAGCTTGTTATGGTTTACTGCTGGGGAAAGTTTAGGATGTATTCTGGTTGCTAACATGGAAAAGGACAAAGGGGATCGTATGGGGATGCAGGGGAATTAAGTGTTGACTACGGTATGACGGGAAAGTGCCAGACACAGGGGATCGTATGGGGATGCAGGGGAATTAAGAGTTGACTACTGCATGATGAGAAAGTGCCAGATCGTACGTGAAAACCCAATGTCCGACACAACAAGAGCAGCGACCAAATGTCAAAGGACAAGAGGTAACAAGGAACCCAGGGAAAAATATCAGGCGGCAGATATTCTAAGACCAATAGGAGAGGACAGTCTCTCATCCAAAGGACGATCTAGGGAAAACCAACAATTATACCACACAGGGAAAGGCAAAAGTGACACAAAAATACCAACATTCTTGAAACAGATGGTAGATAACTATACACAACATCTGTTTAGCTGCTGATGCGGCATTAATGTCATGTATATTCTACTATTGTATATCTACATTAACGAGGGGGGGGGGGGGGGACACGATTAACATTCAGCATCCGAGTTTTTAATGAACCGACGAAACGGGTTGAAACGGCCCCTGTATTTCTACACACTATCACCTGTATTTAACAGGTAACAAACAGGTGTGTGGAAAGGGGGGGGGGGGGCTATTACCACCATTAAAATAACATCAGTTTTTAATAATGACATTCATTGAAAGCCTAGTTAGGCATCTCGCGAGCTTTAAAAGATTATGTTTATATCGCAGCACACACGTGACTGTGGGGAGGGGGGAGCGGGAGGGGATAAAATATTAGACTCGCTGTCCAGTGGACAAGGTCGGTTTGGTAAAAAACATTAACCGGCACAGATGCTGAGCTAATTAATGTGGAGAAACGAACCTTACATATTCGATCATAAAAACATGCTGACGTGCGGGGGTTCATTTAAAGCAAAGGTTCTCACCCCAGGGGTCGGGCGGGGGGGGGGGGGAGGCGAGAGGCAACTTTTAGAGTCTTTGGGCCTCTTCCAATAAATCAATATTTGTTTTTATTGGTTTGTTTTTTTTAAACATAACTCCCTTGAAATTTCTATACTTTTTCTGGGGAACAAGTAGGAGTGGGTGATAACCAAATCTTCCATACAATAAAATGAAAACTTGATAGTGAACCTTAAGAGGTTGATATCAACGCCAGAAATGGCACAGAAAGAATTACACCATAGATCTCTCCTGAGCTACTAGATGCGGGGCTTGTAAGGTGGAGACTAACCAACGAATATAAATTTTTGTGGCATGTTTCTTTTTTTGTCGGTGTTTTTTTTTTTTTTTTTTTTTTTTGAGATTTTGAGTAAATATTTTTATAGAACCGACGTTTTCAAACAATAAATGTTTTTTTTTAAAAGATGATTTAGTAGATAGGAACGAACGATAATTTCTAAACGTGCAATAAACCATCCATTAAGAACTGTTAGCCTACATCCCCAGCGCTTAATGATACTTTTTAAAGAATTAATTCCCACCACCCAACCCCACCCCATTCTAGCGATCTGAGAACCGTTTAGCTGTCCTCACTCAACCTACTGAACACGTTTCTAGCAAGATATGTATTGTGTCCACCCCCCCCCCCTACCAACACGTTGAGAACCGTTCAGCTAGCCTCACTCAACCCACTGAACACGTTTCTAGCAAGATATGTATTGTGTCCACCCCCCCTACCAACACGTTGAGAACCGTTTAGCTAGCCTCACTCAACCAACTGAAGACGTTTCTAGCAAGATAGATCTAGTATGTATTGTGTCCACCCCCTACCAACACGTTGAGAACCGTTTAGCTAGCCTCACTCAACCCACTGAACACGTTTCTAGCAAGATATGTATTGTGTCCACCCCCCCCCCCCCCCCTACCAACACGTTGAGAACCGTTTAGCTGTCCTCACTCAACCTACTGAACACGTTTCTAGCAAGATATGTATTGTGTCCACCCCCCCCCCTACCAACACGTTGAGAACCGTTTAGCTAGTGGCCACACTCAACCCACTGAAAACGTTTCTAGCAAGATATGTATTGTGTCCACCCCCCCCCCCCTACCAACACGTTGAGAACCGTTTAGCTGTCCTCACTCAACCTACTGAACACGTTTCTAGCAAGATATGTATTGTGTCCACCCCCCCCCCCCCTACCAACACGTTGAGAACCGTTTAGCTGTCCTCACTCAACCTACTGAAACGTTTCTAGCAAGATATGTATTGTGTCCACCCCCCCCCCCTACCAACACGTTGAGAACCGTAGCTAGCCTCACTCAACCAACTGAAGACGTTTCTAGCAAGATAGATCTAGTATGTATTGTGTCCACCCCCTACCAACACGTTGAGAACCGTTTAGCTGTCCTCACTCAACCTACTGAACACGTTTCTAGCAAGATATGTATTGTGTCCACCCCCCCCCCCTACCAACACGTTGAGAACCGTTTAGCTAGCCTCACTCAACCCACTGAAAACGTTTCTAGCAAGATATGTATTGTGTCCACCCCCCCCCCCTACCAACACGTTGAGAACCGTTTAGCTGTCCTCACTCAACCTACTGAACACGTTTCTAGCAAGATATGTATTGTGTCCACCCCCCCCCCCCTACCAACACGTTGAGAACCGTTTAGCTGTCCTCACTCAACCTACTGAAAACGTTTCTAGCAAGATATGTATTGTGTCCACCCCCCCCCCCCTACCAACACGTTGAGAACCGTAGCTAGCCTCACTCAACCAACTGAAGACGTTTCTAGCAAGATAGATCTAGTATGTATTGTGTCCACCCCCTACCAACACGTTGAGAACCGTTTAGCTGTCCTCACTCAACCTACTGAACACGTTTCTAGCAAGATATGTATTGTGTCCACCCCCCCCCCCCTACCAACACGTTGAGAACCGTTTAGCTAGCCTCACTCAACCCACTGAAAACGTTTCTAGCAAGATATGTATTGTGTCCACCCCCCCCCCCCTACCAACACGTTGAGAACCGTAGCTAGCCTCACTCAACCAACTGAAGACGTTTCTAGCAAGATAGATCTAGTATGTATTGTGTCCACCCCCTACCAACACGTTGAGAACCGTTTAGCTAGCCTCACTCAACCCACTGAACACGTTTCTAGCAAGATATGTATTGTGTCCACCCCTACCAACACGTTGAGAACCGTTTAGCTAGTGGCCACACTCAACCCACTGATAAAGCGACGAACAAGTTGAACGACGGCCGAGCACTCGAGGCCTAATCAAACAAGGAAACGTAATCCCGTAAAGGGGAGCAACTCGAGGTTGAAAATCATGTAACTGGCCTCTAGTTTACAATGCGAACAAGAACACTCAACTCTTTGGATGGCCAATAAAACGTGTTTGTCCTAAATAAACCAATCGGTCAAACTAATGACCGAATTTTTAAGCCAAGTATGGCGACAGGTGATTATCGCTCTGTTGTTGATAGCCTGATGTTATATAACTCTCGATGTATGACGTTAAATAAATATATCACTGCATGTCTGTTATAAAACACTGGATTCTACGATCATATAACACTGGATTACTATTATATAATGTTGAATAAGTCGACTGTTGTGTAATGCTGAATTTACCTGCTATTTAATAACGGATAACAATAGTTTTTTATGTGTATGTAATCAAATAATTATCATTACTTAGCACTTAAATTATAAGCACACACCATATTACACAGACCTTACGTGGGCTAGTCTACATCAATAACAGATATAAGTGGGCTAGTCTACATCAATACCCAACACTGAGATATACGTGGGCTAGTCTACATCAATAACTGAGATATACGTGGGCTAGTCTACATCGATAACACTGAGATATACGTGGGCTAGTCTACATCAATAACTGAGATATACGTGGGCTAGTCTACATCAATAACTGAGATATACGTTGTCTAGTCTACATCAATAACTGAGATATACGTGGGCTAGTCTACATCAATAACTGAGATATACGTGGGCTAGTCTACATCAATAACTAACACTGAGATATACGTGGGCTAGTCTACATCAATAACCAACACTGAGATATACATGGGCTAGTCTACATCAATAACTGAGATATACGTGGGCTAGTCGACATCAATAACCAACACCTTTACGTGGGCTAGTCTACATCAATAACTGAGATATACATGGGCTAGTCTACATCAATAACTGAGATATACGTGGGCTAGTCTACATCAATAACTGAGATATACGTGGGCTAGTCTACATCGATAACACTGAGATATACGTGGGCTAGTCTACATCGATAACACTGAGATATACATGGGCTAGTCTACATCAATAACTGAGATATACGTGGGCTAGTCTACATCGATAACACTGAGATATACGTGGGCTAGTTTACATCAATAACCAACACTGAGATATACGTGGGCTAGTCTACATCGATAACACTGAGATATACGTGGGCTAGTCTACATCAATAACTGAGATATACGTGGGCTAGTCTACATCGATAACACTGAGATATACGTGGGCTAGTCTACATCAATAACGAACACTGAGATATACGTGGGCTAGTCTACATCGATAACACTGAGATATACATGGGCTAGTCTACATCAATAACTGAGATATACGTGGGCTAGTCTACATCAATAACTGAGATATACGTGGGCTAGTCTACATCAATAACTGAGATATACGTGGGCTAGTCGACATCAATAACAAACACTGAGATAGATGTGGGCTAGTCTACATCAATAACTAAGACTGAGATATGCGCGGGCTAGTCTACATCAATAACTGAGATATACGTGGGCTAGTCTACATCAATAACTAAGACTGAGATATGCGCGGGCTAGTCTACATCAATAACCAACACCTTTACGTGGGCTAGTCTACATCAATAACTAACACTAGCTGACGCAAGAAAACGGCAGACGACAGAACAGACATGTCTTTATGTAACACGTTGTTTCCCGGTAAACCTTGGCTTACATTTGGAAAAATTTAATTAATTTATCTTTTAGGCAAGTATGTATGGTAATATACATTTTTAAATGACATCAGAATACTAACTAAGCCCCGATATGAACTGACGTCATTCTATGCTTCTTTTGTTTATATCAAAGATTTGTTTTTTAATTGATACTATTTTTAGACGTGTGCAACAGACGGCATTTTTTTTCTCAAAAGGTTAACATGACTTTAAGAGGTCAGATAAGGGGCGACCACCCCCAACTCACGTCCTCAGATAACTCATAAAGTTTCATGGAAGACCAAGACAACACATACACAAACTCAACACACACATAAATTATAAATTGACACTTGTATGGTATTTTTCCGGTCTTTGAGAACTTTTACTTCCAATTACCACAACAAAAAAGACATGCCACTGTTCTGAATAGTAAAAGAACATTACCAAAGACTTTCAATCTTCTTGTGGTTATTTATTTAGATGTATGGAATAGATATGGAAAGGACTTGGCCCATATAACCCAAAATGTGACGAAATAATACACACAACCCAGCCAGATCTAGGCTAAACTTGTACTTGAAAGATGACCAAATCAAGCTTAACTTTGAACATAAGCCTCTATTGTAGCTTAGCTAGCCTGATAACCTACATATTGGCCAGAGCAACTTCATAACTTGAAATACAGGGATATCTTATCTTCAAATACCCTGTCAATCCTTTCGTTAAATTAATCAAACTGCATGTCCTGATTGTTAGACAGTATCAATGACTCACATATAATTCCAATTACTTCCAAACTACCACAAATTTGACATATCAATGATGTTCAGACCACCACAAAGTTAACTAGATTGCCACTGATTCATTTCTAAAAAATTACTTTCAAACTAACAATTTTTTTTTTAACAGACAGTATTTCAAAGTAGCCTACAAAACCCCATGTGATGATGCTGAAAAAAATGTTAGATAAAATAAATCTCATTAGTCATGGAAATCTGGCCACTTCTGACAGCACACAATTGGAGCTAGTATTTATCAGCTGGCTCTAATCTATATGCCCTGTGTACATGAATCATCCAGACCATTAAAATACAGATTTACCTTAGGTTTCATTAATTGGCACATAGCTTTTCAGCAATTAAAAAAAAAACAGTTATAGATATTTACAATGTCTGTCTAAGAGAAATTTTATTTTTCTCTGAAGAACAACAAACAATGTTTCTGTGCATTTCTCAAAACTTACACCTTCAAGAGATAGAAACAGGATAAAAACAAAACAAAACCATTAATCACATCTTTAGCACTAGATAATCATTAACAAGTAATGAATGACCATGCTAATTGAACCAGCTGTGTGTGTTAGAGCAAGGTCCAAACACAGGCTACATGTAAAACATGGATCAGAGAGTACAGGCTACATGTAAAACATGGATCAGAGAGTACAGGCTACATGTAAAACATGGAACAGAGAGTACAGGCTACATGTAAAACATGGATCAGAGAGTACATGCTACATGTAAAACATGGATCAGAGAGTAGGCCTACAGGCTACATGTAAAACATGGATCAGAGAGTACAGGCTACATGTAAAACATGGATCAGAGAGTAGGCCTACAGGCTACATGTAAAACATGGATCAGAGAGTACACACTACATGTAAAACATGAAATAAACTACTCTTTTGAAAAAATGTAACTTGTCTAAGAGCCATGGTAATGTAAAAGCTTGTTTAAAAGATGAAAAAAATAAAGGAAATGTATTTGAGACTGATCTAGGATATCTTAAAGTCTTAAGTTCACTCATCTAGTTAGTCCTATAAATTTGAATATCTTGCAAGTATTTTGCCTTCAATAAAGACAACAGTTTTTTTTTTCTTTCAATGATTAAAAACCATTCAACAATATTATAACTAAATATATAACTAAAACCTATTGTTCCCTTGAAATGATGAAATTTTTAAAGGTAAGAAAGATGGAATTGTAAAGGAACCAACCTTTATTTCTGCAAGCAAAAAGCTGACTCTCTCGCGTACATCCTCAAAAGGGCAAACAGTGGAGAGTCTTAGGAACCCTGGCAGCATAGACTGCAGGTAAGATTCTCTGTCTATGCCATTGAGAACCCCAGGCATCCCAGTGGACACAGGGCTGCCATAGCCATCCAGGTACTGGTCAACCAGTAAAAATATGTTGTCCAGCGCTTGCCTTCTGGAGTTTGCGTCTCTGCTCGAGAGAGGAGCAAGAAATTGCATCGAGTCCACCACATTTTGAACCGCTGCGGAACAAGTAAGGCGAGGTTTGGGTCTCTCATCTTCAGCCATGTCACGGCACTGTGTTGTGGTCCTTGAATAAATTCCTGTAAACAAACAATGTATTCTTTAAATAGAACTGTTTAACTGAGTCAGCAGATAACACTATCAGAAGGCCAGGAAAATATACCAATTATGTGTACATATATTATGATGTTTTATAATAACCACTGCCTATAGTAAAACTATTTTACAGTAACTTCTGTTGTATTGCATTACAAACAGGTGGATCTAGTTTCATTTGACACTACAATATGTGGGTTTAAAATTGTTTAAGTTTTTTGGGGTTTTTTTGTAGCCTATGTCAGCACGAAAACTGATCTGTGGTTATGTGAAGCTATTGCAGGCTGTTTGCTAATCCTAATTCAAGCCTTGAGCCAAACACCAATACCAACAGGAGGAGACAGAAATTTGATTTAATTAAGTTTAGCATTGCCACATGATAATAGTATTTTCATGTGGATTCCTTCTCTCCACAAGCTGTGTCAGGCTCCCTTCAGTGCTTGTCTGGTGATGTCATGACCATGTAGAGTAAGCTTGATTATGCCAGATTTCCACAAGAAGTTGGCAGGTCTTCTGTTAATGGTTGATGGTTACCAGCAGATCTAAAGAACCCTTCACAGACAGCTGTTAATGTAGACACAAGCTATTCATCTGGTCACTAAAGTTTAAAGTGAAATCTTTCAGGTGGCTATTCTTACGGCGGCCGTGGTCAAAGTTAAAAGTGTAATCTTTCTGATGGTGGCCTTGGAAGTGATATCTTTGAAGCTGATATCTCCATAATCAGGATCCAGACAGCTATAAGTCCTAGCTTGGACATCAGTACCTATTCTGTCCTACTGGAATCTCATGCTGCCAATAGATGAAGGCACATATTTTATGTAGAGTCTTCCTTAACATGTAGCTGGTTTGTACTGGCTAAGTACATTTCCTAAATCTCCTGTCCATTTATCATTCATTTTGAGCACATTCATCATAGACCATTCTACTTCCACCGCTTGTCTTCAACATGACTACTAATAATTCATAGTTGATACAGAAAATTATTATTACCACCCACCAATGCTGATTTTTAATTATGAAAATATATTGATATAAACTGCAGGAAATGAAATATTTCTTCATGTTAAAACAAATTTTAAGTTAACGATGCATTTGATAAATAGGCTCACCAAAATTACTTTTATTAGAATAGGCCTACATCATTTTATATACATTATTTACATTTACTAAACATGCATTTAAAAAAAATTAATTTAATTAAAATATTAATGCAAAAATATAATAAAATTTAATACGGATACTTTTTTTTTAACTATGTATTTTTTACAAAATCAAATAAATAAAATGTAGGCCAATTTGTTGTTTTTATTTTTGGAAAATTAGTTGTTTTATATTTTATACATTTATTTCATTTGGTCAGTAAAATAAACAATGTTTGTCTTGGTGAGTAAATCTATATTTCATGGTAATTGTGCCCTGTACGGTACACTCATATATCTATAAGTATTATAAAAACAAAGCTAAGATAAATATTTTTTATAAGCCATTTACTGATTATTGCCCTATATAGTATGCATAACGGGACAGAGTGGTTGAATGGTAGAGCATATGTCTGCTAACCCAAAAATTCGAGTTTGGGTCCCTAGCTAGTCATAGCACATCCCTGAATCCATCAACGCAAATGGTTACCTGACTTACGTTAGGGAAATTAAAGGCGGCTGAGCATATTGTTGACCACAATATCCCTTTTTTATGCAGCGATCTCAGGACCGCCAGATCCGAAAAAGAACTATAGTGTTGGAAGGGATCGAGCTTTATCTGCCTGAGGGTTTGAACTCCAGACTTTTTTTGAATTTATCAACCATGAGACCACGCCTCCATCACAATTAAGGATACGTGTCAACTGGTTATGCGCCATTTAGGCCTTTGTATCAGATTTCAGCCTGCTTTTCTTTTTGGATTTGCTTCCATAGCCTTTGTCCAACCAAGAACAAACTACAAGGCAGCAGTTGTTTGATTTTGGAGTTGTTTCTCCTAGATGAGTGGCTGTCCTCAGCTAACGAGCCTCATCTGCCCGAGGTTTCGAACTCGAGACTTTTCGGTTTAGCAACCATGAGCTTTACCGACTCGACCACGCCGACCCCTAATATACAATTAAAATCTATTGTTCCCTTGAAATTACTTATTAGATTAAAAGATTAGACCTAGAGTCTACATCTAAAAGTCTATTTTGTTAACAACTGGTAAACTCAATTAAAATAAAAATGTTCGGCCTATTTAATAATATTTAAGCCTCAATAAATGTATAGGCCATATTTTATTTAGGCCCACAATTTACTAGGTATATAATTTACTGTTAATTTAGTATTTACTATTTTAGATTCTAATAAATAAAGTAATGTTATTTTAGGGATTTTGGTAAAAAAGCACTAATCATCATATAAAAATAAAAATTACATATTCTTGTAGAGCTCAACAAAATGAAAACAAAACAAAAAAGATTTTTTGTCTAGCTCAAATAGTTTTTTTTTTGCGAATTTTTTTGTGAGGGGTGGAATCCCCTTACTTTTGCATTGGCCAATTGTGACAAGTCATGGTATACCTGAATAAATTGAGCATAGTTATTTTAATTGCATTTGTATTTTGTTCATATTTGCAGAGTTTAGCTAGAATGATATATAGAACTTGTAAATTTTGTTGAAATGAATAAAAATAATACAGAACTTATATTTTTGTGTTGGCTTCCTCCCATAACCCCAAAAAACTGTGTGCTGCGCAAATATGAAAATGTTTCTAAAGCCATATTTTATATAAATACAGCAAATGAAAGAACTACAAAGTTTGAAATCTAAAGTAAATGACTTGAACACTGTTATGTGCATATAATTGCCTCATTATTTTGGGCAGGTGAAGTAGAGTCCATCTTTAAGCCATTATGTTATAAAACTGCTGCGCAAATATGAAAATGTTTCTAAAGCAATATTTTATATAAATACAGTGAATGAAAGAACTCCATAGTCAGAAATCTAAAGTAAATGACTTGAACACTGTAATGTGTCTATAACTGCCTTGTTATTTTGGGCAGGTGAAGTAGAGTCCATATAAAAGCCATTTTGTAATAAGTGAAATGAAGTTATCAGATCAATGTTTTTATGTGTGAATTGTGTATGGATTCTGATTTTCAGCATATAACTATATCTAAGGGTAAGTAGAACTTGAATACTTAAAATTACAGTTAGCACAATGCTAGTGTATAGCAACAGACAGGTAACCTAGATCTAGGTCTGACTCTTGTCAGTCTAGTCTGACAAAATTGGATTTTTAGGAAAAACATATTCTGCAAAACTAGAACTAGAGCTGAAAAAATTAAAGATGGGTATGTAAATATATTTTGAAATAAAAAATTAGATTTGTTTGCACATGCCATAAGAATGCTGTTATTAGTTGATCAAACTTAAAGCAGGAAGATCGGGATGAAAAAATATAACAATGGTGGCAGCGTGACCTACATACAGTGACTACGTTCGGAGGGGTATAACTAATGTCGGAGTCAAAATATCCAAAAACAAATTTCATTTCCAATTACTTAAGATATGTCTGATCAGTAATCTACTCTCATCTAGAGGAATCTTTTAAAAAATCGAGATTCCAACGTATTTGAAACTAACCTTGATACAGAGGGAAGACCAAAGCAGAGACAGCATGCAATCAGGTCGCAAAGCCATTAAAACTAAGGGACAACCACTCTACTTTTTAATTAACCTTAGGAAATGACCTTTTAAACTTAATTAATTACCATAAATTAAAAACTTATTAGTATGCAAAACCAAATCTCGTGTGTCCGGTATCAGAAAGTAATGGGCGATTTCGGGTCATGTTTTTACCGCGAACTCGGCGGATGCCGACAACCCTAGTTATTTTGATTACAATAATATCAGTACAAGATCTAGATGATTCTAATCATTCTATGCCTAACAACTGAGTAGATCTAGAATTTCTATCAGAATCACACTCATGATTTTAAGAAGTTTTAATATTATTTTTAAAAATCAATATTTAGAATCTCAATCTCTAGTGCTCTGGGCTAATTTAAAACTAAGTTTTATCAACTAACCTTCTTTTATTAGAAGCTCCTAGAACCTAGTTCAGCAACTTTAACTTGAGCTACCAGGCTCCAGATGATGCAGCGGTTTTTCTCTAACACAAGCAGAATATACTTCGGTGTGTAAAAATGTGTAGTGAAGTGTGTAGATGAATAGCAGTACACACCTCACGAGTGACTGCCGACACTTGTTTCAACTTGACAAAAATAGATTATTTGTATAAAATAGATAATTTATGTTACCTGAAACTATAAATTACATGAACGTTTATACTACAATCGCAACTATAAAAGTCAACATAAATGTATCTAATAACAAGATCTGTTATCATAGTACGAATCGTCAAGCACACTAGCACAGTTAGATGTGCAGTACACGTATCACAATGCCGGCTTTCGGCAACAATCAGCTGATAGCATGCAGGTCATGCGAATATTTTTAGAAATGAGCTTCGAATGGTTAGATTTCTTCTCGCTTTTCGCATCCTATGTTTTTTTCTTTCACATATTCAAAAAATCATCATTTAGTTTTATTTTTTGTAGCCCAATTATGTTTTTATTTCAGAGTCCAAACACGTTTTACTTCGAAAAAAATATTTTACAGCGTTTTAACAGAATCATTACTCAATTAATTATTGTTTCTTGTGTATGTTACCTGTACTGTAGAGTGTAGACCAACCTAATATTCAAATGTGAATGACAGACCTGCATTAATAAGTTAATATATTACGCACAAAAAGAAATGGCAAAATTGTAATGGTAAGTTTATAGTTCCTGAAGATCTTGTTTATATTTTCCAGTGAGTTGCAGGAACTGTTAGTTTGTTAGTGTTAGTAGTAGTTTGTAAGGTAGTTTATAGACCTATCTATATCAATATTATAATAATGTACGTAGGCCTAGTATATAGATCTATTTGTTATTATTTCATGAACTAGCTTTTTTCAGTGTTGCTATATTGTGGGCCTATGGGTGGCGGTGATATATCGATCTAATATTGTTAACGTTATACAGAGTTTCTTCCAGGCATTTCTTCGGTTACCGCCCCCCCCCCCAAACGAAATGAAATGTATATAATTTATATAGAAAATATATACTTTTAACAGTGTCCGCCCCCCCCCCCCCCCCGAAGAAAGTTTACCGCCCCCCCCCCCCCCACGAAAATTTCAAGAGCCCCCCCCCCCGGAGAAAAAAAGTCTGGAAGAAACACTGACGTTATATATCCTAATGTCATATTTAGAGCTATACGAGGTGGGTCAAAAAAAATTCTAATATTTTGTGTGTTATTTGGGCTAATGGCCGAACGCATCTGAATGAAGTTCAGTAGCTTAGATTTCCTGAAGTTGTAAACTTTGTTATGTGTGCACTCACGCGTATCGACCTGTGTTTCAGCAGCGTCAACGACAGTTTAAACTAATACTAATGTTGGTATGTTGTTGTCCCCTACTTTAAAAATAATGATAGTTATAATTTTAAATCTAATTTTAAAGCAAGGTTCTTATCCTGTTTATTCTTGATTACCAACAATATTTACATAGTACATAGTGTGACGACCTTCAACTTAGATTCACCTATTTTCCATTATATATATATATATATATATATATATATATATATATATATATATATATATATATATATATATATACTATCGTGTCCGTCCCCGCGCGTTACCCCGGGGTTAGAAGAAAGTAGAAAGTCCGAGAATAGCCCGGGGCAAATCGCACCCTGTGTATAAAAATAAAAGTCGATTGTAGTTTTACACCGTTCTTCCGATCGCCATGAAACTTTGGAGAGTTGATTAGAACACTCCAGATGAGGTATCTGCAAAAAAATATTATTATTTTTAAATTTCACAAGGGCGGCGCCTCTGGTGGATGCGATTTTTTTCTCTATATACGGTATTTAAAAAACAAGAGTCGGATGCGGTTCGACCCCATCCATCCGAGTGCCGTAAAACATTGGGGAGTTGATGAGAATAATCCCGAGAAGGTATCTACGAAAAAAAAAAAAATTCTTATGAGAGTCGCTCAGGAGGGTGCGACTTTTGACGATACACTGTTAAAAGTATATCTTTTCTATATAAATTCCATTTCGTTCGGTTTCACCCCCCCCCCCCCCCACCCCCACCCCCCCCCCCCCTAAGAGTTTCTTCCAGTCTAACGCCCCCCCCCCCCGAACGAAATGAAATTTATATTGAAAATATATACTTTAAAGAGTGTCCGCCCCCCCAAGAAAGTCAAACGCACCCCCCCCCCGAAAATTTCAAGTCCCCCCCCCCTCGGAGAAAAAAGTCTGGAATAAACACTGCACCCCCCCCCCCTCCCCCGATACTGTTGGGTCAAAATTTTAAGAAAAATATAGCCAGCAATCTATATTTTAAATTACCTAATAAACTTTTATAATTTAAAAAAAAAACTTGGAAAATCCCCTAAAAGTAATACTGCAATTTTCATATATTTATGGCCACTATGCCACTAAACGAGGTAGGCCAAATACTTCTGATGGCCAGGGTACAACACGACGACTGTTACTGCTTTGATAATCGACTGTTACTGATAATACAATAATATGATATAGGCCTACCATTTTCGAGATAGACTAGAGACTCGACCAAAAAAGGACACACAGGGCCTAGACATACACACAGGCATATATAGGCCTATATATATATATATATATATATATATATATATATATATATATATATATATATATATATACAGTGACGTAGCGAGGTCGGGTTTCACCCAGTGGCGTAGCGACCCTTCCCGGGGACAAACTTTCAAAATTTCGATTTGCCCCCCCCCCCCCCCCTCATGTTTTTCTATATATATTTTGCTTTTTTTGCCTTGGTGTCACCCCCCTAAATGGTGTCACCAGTGCGGTCCGCACCCTCCCCCCCCCCCGCCCCGCCCCTCGCTACGCCTCTGTATATATATATATATATATATATATATATATATATATATATATATATATATATATATATATATATATATATATATATATATATATATATATATGTATGTATGTAATGGGAAGTGACGAGTAAAACTTTTTTTCGTTTTAGGGCCTATAGTTATAGTATGTATCTTCCCTCCTGTCACTTTTCTTGTTTTGTTTAGTAAACAAAAAGCATCTCCCCCCCAAGTATATCTCATAAGTAACGCTAATACTATGGATGATCATAACATGCGCTGAGAACCACTATCGCAATTTATCTAACAGAATAATCTTATTTTTGCGCATGTATACTTGACTCTGGCCATGACCTAGTTTCACCATACACACCTCCCATTTTGACCAATCGCATTGTGGTAAACAGCGACGGTTCGTTTTTAACCCCTAACATGATATTAAAAGATAGGACAATTGCCTATGTAGGTTAATTACGGTTTGAAAAGCAGTGCGTTATATTTGCCTCAATTCGTTTGTGTTCCAGCTTGAGTGCCTGACGCATTATGGGTTGTAGTGGGGTAAGGAGACTTGGAACAAAAAATACACGGTCACGTGGCTAAAATAAGTCACGAGCGCTCGGGGAAGAAAACACTTTTAGTTTTAGCCCTTAACCGGCCTTCGCAGCTGATCCTAAAAAAAATAACCGTAACGTTTCTGTTTTCAGAGTACCATTTTTGTTGAAGTCATCTTTATTTATATTTAGTTAGCTCAACTTTTCTGTTCCAAACGGTGTCTGTGTGAAACTGGTGTTTGGTTTTGGTTAGTCTACTAGTCTGATCAGGAATACTACCCAAAGAAAGGAAAAGGATAACTGCGCGAGACAAGTTAGATTTGAATCCCCATGGAAGAAGAAAGTATGCCGGTTAAGGCAATCCCGGAGAAGGACTATGGAAGGAGGCAAGGGCTGCCGGCCTACGTTGGCGCAGATAAAGAGAGCTGTCCGATGGTGTGGCTGCAGCCCTTTGCTCCACAGGGGCTTCAAAGGGATAAGTCAGTCTAGTCAAGGCAGTCTCCTCCCGTCCTATATGCGTGACGTCTTTTGTAGAGAACTTCCCTCAATCCCCATGTCGTCTACCCACAAGGAAACAAATCGTTAAATTATTATTCTCAGTGTTCACATTCACAACACAAGAGCACATTCATGTTGTGGCCATGTTATACCATTTATTCTCTAATGAAATAATTTAAATAAATCTAATTTCAAAAATGTAAACTGAATTTTTTTTAAAACAAAGTAATTTTGTAATTCATTCTATAACAAATTATCACAAGTGGACCTAAAAAAATTAAATGGAGGAATAAACCATAATATACGGAATTAAAAATCTACTGTTACTAAGGTACAAGGTTTAAAATAAAATTTATTACAACTACATGAAACAGTTTCATTCGAAAACATGATAAAAAAATAACCAACTAGACCTATATGCAAATATTATTTTAACATAGGCTAAAACAAATGAAAGGACTTGTCTACATTTCAAACATTCCCCTGTCTGGCTTCAGATTGTGGAGCAGCATATCACCCTACTCCCTTGTTACGCTTTTGTTGCAAGAGTATGAACATCTTTACATTGTGTATGTTATATAACTAGCACCCAGTCCAAAAACTATAACAGCATTAATGTTAAACCATATGTTGAATATCAGATTAGGTTTCTATAATAGGTAATTTATCATTAAATTGTTACTTTTTAAGAAATTTAATATAATTATTTCAATTACATTTACATCATTAAAAAGGCACTTAATAAAGAATATGAATAATATTTAAATAGGACAAGAGATTATGTTTTGGTGTCAAGGAACAATAAAATACATTTTAAAAATTCTAAAAAATATCACCCCATTGACAAAAATAATTTTTTTAAATGTAAAACAAAATAGACGATAATTACCGTAGGTATATAAAAATGTTTTTAACAAAAAATACACAGTAAAGTGGGTTCTGAAAGAAAACTTAACAAGGTAAAACAACAGTATGTTAACAAAAATGTAAAGCTACTGCTGCTTGAAAAAGTGCATCACTATTATCACAGATAATTTTTAAATATAGTTCATTAATCTGATAATGTAGAGTATAATTAGCTAACTTATATCATAATCAAGTCATATTTAAAAATAAAGTATACATCATAACGAAAGAATTTTAAAAATAATCACTGTAAATTTTTGTGCAGCTACACAATTTACACAACAATGCTGTTTATAAAATATCCATAATATATGCATGTACTTTTGTTTTTGGCTTTCACACATACATTTAAAAAAAAAAAAATTAAAAATTAAACACCTTTAATGGTTTAAAACAGACATTTTACAAAACAAGATTGTTAAAAACAGCTTTAATGATGTGGATCTAAAAAACTGTTGTTAAACGACATAAATTTGGCAAGTTTATTTTTAAATGTACTTTTACATTTAACAAGAAAATCTATAACATGTCTTAAATAATCTTCAAAAACTATTTACATATGATTAACATTGATAAACTGTGTAGTAATACTTTTAATGCTAATTAAGAACAAAATGTATTGGACTGTATACATTCCCAGTGCATTAAGTTTTAAATTTGTAACTTACTTCAATAAAATAATTAATATATCACATATTTTAATAAAAATGTAACAATATAGTGGCTAAATTGTTTTTGGTACTATGGAATGTTTAGATGAAAATTGTTGATTTACATTTTCTGACAAGCAAATAGTTGAAATAAACAAAATTTTATCATTATGAGAACATGATGCTCTGCCCCAAACAATTTAAAGTTTGAGAGCGATGAATAATTTAGTGGTCAACTGAAGATTTGATATTTAAACAAATGAAAGAATCTTTCTGTTCTTTTAAACAGTTATTTTGGGTTTAATTTGGAGCTGGGGATTGAGGGGAAAAAGGACAAATGAGAAAAATATTTTATGTGGTATTTTGTCTTCTCATATTTATATCTCTATTATCATTGTTGTGTGAATAAATTTCTGTAGAATTGAGTAGAAAGAAAGCTTTTGTGTGAAAAGAAAATATAATACTCATGTATAAATTACATTAATTGATAAATTGAAATATAATGCACTACTGCTTTTCATAATAAAAAGACTAAGTATATTTTAAAATATTGAATACTGGTAAAAATATAGTATAAATAACAACAGCTAAGGACATGACTTTTAACTAAAAATATTTAGAGATAATTTTCTAAATCTACTGGCCAGAGATCACACAGATTTACATGCAGAAAAAAAGGTGTTTTAAAAATTTTAGCTATTCAGGCATTAAGGAAGCAGTTACTCAGGTTAATTGTATAATGTTAAATAAAGAACTAGGAGAACAGTTTTACTTTTAAAAAACATCATTTTATGTGTTTAGAAAAAAACTAAGAATTTAAAAAGTTTTGATCAATGACTTAAAACAGTTTTAATTTATAAAAATTTGAAATCAGTGAAGAATGGATAAATATGCTTGACCTCCTTATGGCCAAAATTATGTTATTTTATATTTTTGTGTTTTCAAAAATACTGGAATTCTTTTTGACAATGGTGTTATAAAAGATAAAATTGGTTGTAGTCATTTAATGACCTCATTACTTCCTTTCAATGGAGCCTCTGATGGTTTTGGCTAAAATGCTGACCCAGTTAAATTTTTGCTCAGCTGTTTCAGTGGCACATGTCCAGGCTTGTTTAGGTGTCTCTACTTTAAATGCATTCTTCACATCTAACACCAAAAAAAAAAACAATTTTTGAAACATTAGTTTACAAAATTTACTATATCAACTGCCAAATGATAAAATTATTATTTCAACATGATCTATCATTCAAATGTAAATTTAATTTCTCTAAACATTCAAAAACCAAATTCAAGCAAAATGAAAAATGATGAGGTAATTTCTTACATTTGGAATCAGGAATATCTAACACCTTCATTCTATTCAGTGACATGCTGGTTTCATATTTATATGTAAATTCTACAGCGCGACTAAATGGGAAATGTTTAGATGTTCTCCTTGTTATAAGTAAGGCATCATTAAAAAGATACAGTCCTAGCATGGCGATTTCTTGGAACGCTCTGTTATAAAAACAATTATTCATAAAGGATTTTTTTTTTAAATATAAGCTTGTTTTGTGTAAAGCATACAAAATAATGTATTAAAATTTAGAATTTGTTTTATATTATATATTAAAAATGTAATAATAATAAGCCATTTAAAAAATAGTTTTTGAAAACATTAATTATTTATTATAAATAATTTTAAAAAGTAATAAAGCATTTTTATGCAGAGATTTTAAATATGAGCTTTCACAGAATTACTTACCTGAACTCAGGAACTTCTGAGTCAGTTGGGGGTCTCAGATGTGCTACGTCAATGTGATTTACCAGGTATCTGTTGGCTTCTAGCAGTGCCTAGTGTATCAAGTGGTAGAGGTTAAAATATTTTAAAAGAACCTCAGATAAAATTGCTAAGTGAAAAGGTCATGTTTCATTTTAAATTGTTTCAATGTCCATATTGGCAAGTGGGATATAATAATCTTACACAAATGGGAAAATATATAACAATTCTTAATAGTTCCCGTAAATTTTAAGGAAAAAAAAAAAACAATCTGAGAATATGGTTTTAAATAATGTTTGATTCTTTTTTATGTAGAAAATAAAAGCTATTTGACTTAAAAACAAAATTTTAATACAGGGCAGTTGATTAGGCATAATTCTAAATTGATAGACAGCATATTTAATTTTTATTAAAAAAATCTTTTTACTGGAACAATTTAAAGTGTAAAATAAAATATTTAATTACTGAACAGTTGATTATGTGTGGTAAAAAACTTGCCACTTACTGGACAGTTGATTATCTTCCTGGTTAGAGAGACAAGCTCCTTCTCTCTGCTCATTCTCACCTTGCACTGAAAGTCAGGTTAGATTTATGGAGATATGTTTACACATTATTATCTTAAACACAGGTAAATCTGCTTTTTTTTTTCATAATTTTTATGCAATGATCACACACTAAGTAAGTTATGACAACTCTTGTGGTTATAGACAAAGTAAAAATGTACTTTTGATACTAATGTTCTTTAAAAAAACTACAGAGATTTATTGACTGAATATCATGTCTCTATGTGATCTTGATTACCTCCCTCATGCCCCTATCAAGTTCCGTCAGGGTGTTGATCACATTGGCTAAATCCTGGCGATCTGGGTGTGTGCGTGGGGTGTGCAGCTCAAACCATGTCAATAGCTGAACATATTCTGATATTCTCCGAATTGGAAGCAAGAAAATTTCTTGGAGCCTTCAAAAAGTAAATTATATATTTGATATAAGGATAATTTTCTAGGTAAGAATTTAGGCATAAAAACTGCAAATCATATCTTAAGTATACACCATTTTAACTTCTATAATTAAAATTTTTCATTTACCTACAAGATAAGCTTTATAGAATTTAATTATTACAAAAGATAAACAATGTAAATTTTAAAATGTACAAATAATAGCTGATTATTTCATCTATAAATTACTTAGTTCAATATACATTACAGGTTTTTTTTTTATTGTTTATACAATTTATTCAAAGCAAATTACTTAAATATTTTTTATTTAATTATTTATATTTGGTAATTGTTATGCTTTATTATTTGCTGCAAAACTTTGTTTTTTCCCCTATGAACTTGAAAAAAAGAATGTTAAAATAGATTACATGAGCATTCTTGTCTCTGGCACCCTCTCATGTCTCTGCAAGAAGGCACGAAATGCTGGCGTCTGCTCCTTGCATCGTTCTATAGCCCGCAGGATGACTTCATAGTTGTTTGTAAAATTTGTGTAAGCTTTGAGCTTGGTACAGAATCGAACAAACACATCACCTACACAGGTGTGCTGGGCATCCCAGTCTGCCAGTTTGTTTCTAAGGTCCTCTTCCAGCTCTCTGGGTAAATAAAAATGTGGGTTCTCAAGTTGTATGACAGTTAAGAATAGGTAGATATTTTTAAAGAGCTGAGCCTTAAAAAAAGCTACAAAAAAACTTATGGAAAATTCTGCAGATAAAATTATAACAATACTACTGATTCAAATAGAAACAATCCTAATAATTAATAATAATGTAGCTAACATTAGCTAGTCCTGATTATATACAAAATTATAAATGAAATATGAAATAAAACTAAAGTACCTGCTGATTTTGAATATGTTCATAATGTCTGTGAAAATTATCTGCACATTTTGTCCACTAATGATAGATCTGAAATAACATTTAAGTTGTAGTTTATTTCATACATTTCAGAAAATATGCATCTGTCTACTAATAACAAACAATACAATGTGACCCCACCAAATGTTTAAACTGTTAAAAGTGTAGCTCATTTTAGGAGTCACAATTACCAACTGAAACATTTTTATAACCCTTAAAAATTTATGCCTTGTCTAATTGCTAACATGGCAGACCAAATAACTGGACCATAAGTCCAGTTCTAGATAACTGACCAGGAAAGTAAAGCAAACTTTAAATTCAAAACAATTTTTATCAAAATTGAGGCAATAGTTTAACAAAAATAAACGACAGCAACAACCTGTTGGAAGCTATGGCAGACTTGAGAGGTTTGACATAGACGTCCTGCACAGACTTCAGGGTTCTCATGTACTCCGTCTCACTGGTCAGGATCTCAAAGGCTATTGGCGTCCTTTTCTCTGGGTGGTCTGCATACTGCTGTGGTGTCTGAACACAAAGGTGATAATTAATTAGCTATTCAGAGCTGGGTAATTACAAGATGATACAACTGCACATTCCAAATACTCAGCTAGTACATGTTTGTAGTCACAGAAAACGTTGCTTGTAAATAATTAGTTTTCTTAACAAGACAACAGTACCACATTTAGCTTTATATCAGCAGAGCTAAAACTATTAGACTAGAAAAGAAGCGCTTAGTTTAGAATGTAATGTGGGGTACAATCCAACACAAATAACATAACCACAGTTTATGATTGAATTTGTGACAAAAAATATCAGCTCACCAGTCGCTGACTCTTGCTGGCTCTCATTGTTCCATATCTAATACTCAGGTCCATCGTCATGGTTTTCAGTGTTTTCTTACCCTGACTTTGTTCATCTTTTTCTTGCAGGGAATCTTTCAAATTTTCGGCTAAACAAAATTTAAAAAAAGCCTTGTTTGAAATTGGAATGTTTCGGGACTCACACCGCATACATTTTCAAAATATCAAAATGAAATATAAAGGCTTTTGATTTTAAAACAAAATAACCTTCATGTTCATGATTTGTCTTTTCTCTGGATGAATCATCCTCTTCAGTTATGTCCTCGTGTAGATCCCTCTCTCCATTTTCTGTCCTGGATGTCACGTCTCCATTCTGTTGTTCATGTTTAGTTTCATCACTCTCCAAGGAATTAGAAAGTAACTGACTTAGACTTCCAAGAGATTTCTGTAACAGAACAAGGTGAAAAAAATGTTTGTACGACCAAGTTTTGATAATCCAGTGACAGAAAGAAATTAACCATAGTTAAAAGAAAGAAATTTACGAGCTTAAAAGAAAAATGTACCGTGGTAAGTCCCATGTTGTCAGTGCTCACTCCTGCCCTCTCTAGCAAGTAGCGACCAAGAAATTTTAAAGGGTGTGACTGGAGATAAAATCAAATGGACATCAAAGTTACTATGTGTGTGTGATTCACAAAAACACTTTTTTTAAAATTAATCAATACATTGTGTTTTTCAAAAGCTATGAAATAATAAAAATGTGTCAAATACTTGCTAAGATACGTACACAATCATTTTAACTAGCTGCATTTTATTCTCCTTAGATATCAAATAAAAAACTATTTCTGTGACATTGGCTTAAGTACTTTAAAAATCAGAATGACTTACAGCATTGGCTTCTCCCAAAGCTTTGAGACCATCTCTTAAGACATCTGTGATATCTGAGACACCCTGAATGTCTGTCTGTCCCAGCACGTCAAACACAAGCTGACCTAGACAGAGAATCAAAGTGTCTTCATATTGTTTCAACGTTACATTTAGCTAGATCCATGAGAATTTTTCATAAATGCACTTAATTGGTTGAATTTACATCAACCAAATTATTAAATCACATGAACCTGACCTGTGATTTGTGCTGAAATGTCACGGTGAATCTTATCAAAGTAGGGGTCCATCATAGCTCTGGTTTCTTTAACAGCTTCAGACACTTGGTCTGCCACGTTGGCCCACACATTGAGTTTGGTCTGACTGAAGTACATGCCAGGTGGTTGTTTGTTGTTCTCATATGGGATCAGCCACTCTGTGTTGACTACAGGAAGAACATTTCATGCTAATGAATTTAATTAACTTAAAAACTAACAGAAGCCAGTATAAGGTTTAAAATATCAAATTTAAACGTATTGATTAGCTCCAACTAATGCACATTAAAACATATTTAATAAAATTATTTTAATTATTTTTTTGTTAAAATTTCAGGTAAAAACATGTTTTAATCCAATCTTAAAGTAAAGCCAAAGAGATTCTCAAACATGCAATATTTTGACCAAAAGATCAGATGAGCCAGGTCTACACTTACTGTGGTTGTAAACACCAATCAATCCAGTGGGGGAAGAGAACTGCATGCTGGTCAGTACACTGAGCTGGACCATCATCTCCATTCCTTCTTCTGTTCATTCATGCCAAGAGACATAGAAGAGAAATATTACACTTAACAAAACACTAGTGCTAGAGTACAAAGTAGCAGTCTATTTAAGATCAAAAGTGTCAAGATCATCCATTGATATATATTTTTGTTGACATACAAATGTGATAGAACTGTTATTTCATAGATATTTGAATAGAAAATATAATTCTGATATTTAAAAAATGGTTTTCTATTAATTATTCACCATATTTATAGGTTTTTTTCTAATGTATTGTGTAGAACTGGCTGTGGGAAAACTGTACCCACTGACCTGAGGTGACTAATTACATAAATATATCAAACTGTCCACCCATCTCACTGACCTGAGGTAGCTAATGGCACAAATATATCAAACTGTCCACCCATCTCACTGACCTGAGGTAGCTAATGGCATAAATATATCAAACTGTCCACCCATCTCACTGACCTGAGGTAGCTAATGGCACAAATATATCAAACTGTCCACCCATCTCACTGACCTGAGGTAGCTAATGGCACAAATATATCAAACTGTCCACCCATCTCACTGACCTGAGGCAGCTAATGGCACAAATATATCAAACTGTCCACCTTTCTCACTGACCTGAGGTAGCTAATGGCACAAATATATCAAACTGTCCACCCATCTCACTGACCTGAGGTAGCTAATGGCACAAATATATCAAACTGTCCACCCATCTCACTGACCTGAGGTAGCTAATGGCACAAATATATCAAACTGTCCAACCATCTCACTGACCTGAGGTAGCTAATGGCACAAATATATCAAACTGTCCACCCATCTTACTGACCTGAGGTAGCTAATGGCACAAATATATCAAACTGTCCACCCATCTCACTGACCTGAGGTAGCTAATGGCACAAATATATCAAACTGTCCACCCATCTCTACTGGTAGAATGTGGTTGACCAGAGCTTCGAAGAAATCCCTGGACTCACTGTCTTCCTCATCAGCCAGAGATACCAGAGAAACTGTGCAGCCATGGGCTAGCTGAAGTTCGCTTGGCTCATCGTAGTGACAGAACAGTCCTATACTCCTATAGGAAAATAGGTATCTTTAAATAAACTATTTGCCATTTGTTAAAAGAAAATGTTTTATCATGGTTGATGTAAATTCATTCTGATTAAATGAAAAAGCATGATATAGGTTAAAAATTAACAAAATATTCTTTCAATTTTTGTTTTTTGAAGATCTAAGGTAAAAGACACGAGTGTGAAAAGTATAATTATGCTTCTAAGTTTTTTTTATCACTTTAGATTATCAGTCACTATCAGTCATTATAAATTTATAATGAATTAGAAATAAATTATTTTTATGTTAATTCTAGGTTCAGAAAGTTACTGAAGGGGTTATGGAAAACAAAATAATGATCATGCAAGCTAGCAATAATTATTTCACTGGTATGGAGGCACCCTTGTAGCAAATAAAGACTTTTTAATTTTCTTTATTTACAACATTATGTTCAAAGTGTATTTGACACTGTAAAAGGAATCACTTCACTGAAGGTTGAATTCTGGCTAAACTTACTGAGCATTTCTCCCCTCCAACACAGACTCTACTTGTTGAACTATAGACTGGGCTGTTGTACCTTCATATTCATAAACCACAGGCAGGACACCAAACAAAACTGCATCCAACAACAACTAGGGATACAAAAATAAACATGGTTTGTGTTTACAAAAATGTTTGATAAAAAGCATAAAATCAGATGAAAACTTCTCTCGCAATTTCTTTCCAGGTCCTCACTATAAATTGTGAATATAAGCTGACACAGAAGTCGGAAGAAGAAAAAACTGCCAGCAGTGCTAACGATCACAATTAAAACACCCACACAAAAAGATCTACTTGCTTCACATATTATCAGTGTTAAGGATCACAATTAAAACATCCACACATAATGATCTACTCGCTTGACATACCTCAGCTGCAGGTATTCTGGAAGATAAGATGATAACCCGTGGGTTTGTGCTAGTGAAGTTACCTCCCAGCTGAAGAGCGTGCTTCTTCTGAGCACTTGGCCTGAAGCTGACAATTTAGAGTGGTTTTTTATGAGAAAACATTTTGTTTTGTCATACAAAATTACAAATATTGTAATGCCATAAAAAAGTAATTAAAACCCTAATAAAACAACACAAAATCAATACTACTATTAACAAGACAATCAGGTAAAAAAATTAATTACATTATGATAATATTTTTGTATTTATTATATTGGATAGTAATTATGATGTTTGGTGTGTTGGATGATTTTAAAATACTCTTTTAGTAGTTATAAATTTAGATAAATTACATGAAATAATAAAATTTCATTAATGAGTTAATATATTTAAATATAACAAAACTCATAAGACACTTATTTTAACGAAAAGCAAATAAAATGAACACCAACCTTTTCATTACCGAAGCTGTTGGTGGCATCCAGTCAGTATTGACCAAATCTTGTAATCTTCTCTCCTCAAGATTGGCAGCTGTTATGTGATCTTTCAAAGTTGATTTGTTAGCACGAGGCAGTTGGTAATCTTCCCCTGCCTGGAGCAGATTTTAAAACTTATATAACATAATATTAGAATCTACACATTAGCCTTATAGTAACAAAAAAAATCTTATCAAATCCTCCTAATAGTCAACTATTTTTAAATTACATTATTTTTTTGCCAGCAAAATTTCCCTTTTTCCTTCAGTTTTTGAAAAAAATATACTAATAATTATTTTAAATATCTTACTTTTCATAATACCAGTTTTTTTTTAGCCTATAAATATCAACCTATTTAATATATTTTTATCATCAATATAAGAAAGAAAAAACTTCAAGGTGTGTTTTTACTTACCAAAAGCATCCTGTGTTTTTCTCTGCGTCCTGATGAGTCCATTCCAATTTCAAAGTCTAATGATTTAGTAGCTAATGTATTTTCTGGAACTGTACGGCGAATTCCAAATTTATTGTGAAAAATCAAGTCAGAGCTGTAAATATAAGAATTATTAATTATTGATAGTAAATTAATATTAATTATAAAGAAAACAATGCATAATTAATTTTTATTTCAGTTTAATAATAATTTATTTTATCAAATTTATTTTTTTGATAATCCAAAATTTATAAGAAGTATTGCTTTTGTAATTTCTAAAACTTTTGGTTAAATGTGAGGCTATAATAAAAACTATATTACGTGGGCCGTAATGGATCATTAGGGTTTTGGTCAGAAATAGCGACCAGGCTAGTTTTTATTAGATCTTTTGGCTTGAAATCAGGTCCTTGCCATGGAGGTCTGATATCCATCAAACGGCCTAAGGAATAAAATAACATGTTTTTACAAAGTTTTAATGCTGTCATTACAATTCATTAATGGTAATTAGAAGTGTAATAGTATTCATTAAACAATAATACATAATTTTTCTGATAGTTCATTTCCAAATCAACAAATTATTTTTTAAAAACAAATCATTAGTATAAATCGTTAAAATGAAACTCACGACTATCAACTCTTGACATACGGCCTGTATTGATTGGTGACTTGTTTTGATAATGACGACTATGCATATTTCGATCCAAACTATTCTATGCATAAAAAGACAAATTTCATTTAAAATATACCTATTTTTACAATGTTTAGAATTTTCACTAATGAAATCATGCACATCTACATATATTTAATTAAAAAAAGAACAGTAACTTTAGGTGTATGATATATCTTCAAAACTTACAGATCTACTCCGAGTGATATGATAGTCCAGTGTGTGAATGCATGCAATATAATGTCTCTTCCAAGCACCATACTCATTATCAGCAGGTGTATAAGGCAAAAACCAACCAAGTCTCACACATTTCGGGAGCCATACAACTTCCTGTAATTATAACAAAATAACATTAATTGTAAAGATAAATTTAGGGAGCAAAACAAATCTGTATAAAATATCATATTAAAGTCATTGTAAATTTAAAGCTTTGAAAAGCTTCAAACTCACCTGCTCTGAAAGAAATTTCCAATGCCATGAAACCTGAGCACACCGGCACAAACTTTTTGGTTCCAGAAATGAGAAGATGTAACAGGAGAGGAAGCGGGGTAAGACTGTGGTGAAGTCCAGGTGTTGTAAGGCCATGTTCTCACTGAACCATCTCTGCACAAAGCTACCATAAAACATTTCATGGGAGAAGTAAAGGAATAAGTTTGTAATATTGTTAAGAATTTGTATCTCAGTAAATTATTCATTAGAGGCTTTATCAAGCAGTGCAGAAAAATGATAAATAATGGGGTTGTTAATAAATGATCTTAAAAATGTATTATTTGTCAATAAACTTTTTAAAGCTATCAGTTTAGCAACATAACCTTGTATAGTAGGCCTATTCCACTTGAGGTAAAGAATTTCAATCCCATATTTTTAACAAGACATTATAATATGATATAAAGAAATAACAGATGTGTTTCTGATGCTTTAAATCAGTTATCTACCTGTACTGAGATCTGCTACACTGTTTAAATATAACATCCAAAAATCTCTTTCTTTGTGAGTCAGTCCAAACGTCATACTAAATTTATTGAGAAAAAAGAAAATTATAAATACTTGTGCAAGTACATAGCAAGCAATAGGCAATGTTCAATACATTCAACAATGAAACAAATGTCATAGCCAACTGTCCTAATATATGTCTTCTTATCTCTTGAAAGCTGAGCTATTGTAAATCTGTCAGTCATATCAAACCATTTATTTAGTGGTATAATATAAAAATAGTCTTAAAAATATGTAATTGGGTATAGATAAGTAGGATTTTGAGTTTTAAAAAAATCACAATTTAATTAGTATGTTGAAAAGGTTATTACCCAGTGTGATACAAGATCTCTTCTTTCTTTAAAAATCTGGGGGTAAAAATAAAAACTCATAAAGTAATATCAAATAGAGTTAAGTAAGAGAATAATGGTTCATATGGAGGGACATTTACCAAAGATTTAAGCAGAAAACCAATTTACAGTTAATTAAAAAAAGAAATATTGGTTCATACAGAAGGAAATTCAATAAAATTTTATGGCACAAATATTGAATGATTAATTAATCACCTGCTCATTTGAGGGTTTATTCACTAAAGGTGTCCATGCACTATTCTGGGTTTTTAATTTAAGTGTTTGAAGCTTTTCTGAATTAACTGCTTTGTCTCTTCTAAGTGTTGTTGTTCGCCCAAGTACTTTCTCATCATCTTCAGTAATGGCTAAGCGTGTCTGTAATTTTACGGACTTTTTTCTGGGGCTTAAACTTGCTGCCATTTTAGTTTCTGCTGTGCTTCAGTTCAGCTGTAGAGTCAGTACTGGTGCATATGTCCAGCAAGTGTTGTTTAATCAACACCCTTGGAGAGTGAGGACAATAGAATAAAAAATATATGGGTTTTTAATGCATTTTTTTAAGTATGCAAAATACAGATTAAAGTTATCAAAAGATGAATCATAGTAATAGTATTATCCCAAATGGTTTGAATCTGTCATTTACAACTACAAATGCCACTATGTTAGCTTGTTTTGCAATTAATTGCTCTTTTTACAAATGCAATCTCTACTTTTGACCTACTCCAGATTGGCCTTATGGAATTGGTAAAAAAGGGGGGTTGAGTGGGTAAAGCTCATGGTTGCTAAACCGAAAAGTCTCGAGTTCGAACCCTCAGGCATATGAAGCTCGTTAGCTGGGGACAGCCACTCTTCTAGGAGAGAACTCCAAAATCAAACAACTGCTGCCTTGTAGGTTGTTCTTGGTTGGACAAAGGCTATGGAAGTAAATCCAAAAAGAAAAGCAGGCTGAAATTGGAGTCAATGGCTTCAATGGTGCATAACCAGTTGACACGTATCCTTAATTGTGATGGAGGCGAGTCGGCAAAAGCTCATGGTTGAAAAATTTGAAAAAAGTCTCGAGTTCAAACCCTCTGGCAGAGAGGCTCGATCCTTTCCAATGCTAAAAATTAAGAACGAAGAAGAAAAGAGGAAGGAGGTAAGAAAGGAAACTTTCTTTTTCTTTCTTAATAGTAATTTTGCAAGGGATTTCCTCTAACACAATTAAGTATAACGTGTCAACACTTGTATTTTGTATGTGCCATATGGCCTGTTGACTCTGATTTCAGCCAGCTCATTTTTCCTGATTTGCTGCCATAGACTACCTCCATCCTTAAACAACTAAAAGACAAGGAAACTGAAACATCACCTTTAGAAAATCTAAATTTTCCCCTCTCATTTCTTTTCATTTTCTTTTATTTTTTTATCTTTAAATGTTTGATAGATTTTGATGCATACAGAACAGCAGAAAGAGATTTTTTATGACTTAGCACTTATAGCACTTAGCACTTTAAAAGTAACATATGTAGTTTATTAAATTTATTATATCAATAATCTAAGTTTATTTTCAATAAATAGTTTATAAAATTAATTTATAATAGCATTTTCCTTAATGTCTGTTAACCCCTCTTTAAGAGCAACAGAACTTATAAAAAGTTTGATTTTCCATATATATAACCAAAGAATAAAACTCTTATTCACCTGGGCAGAGGATTATAATAATTGAACATAGGGGTTGGTGAAGAGTGATCTGAAAACTAAAACTCATATACTTAACTGAAATTCACTATTAGTAGATCTAGTATAAGCCTACATTTTTTTTTTCTTCATTTTATTTCTTAGGTTCTAGATCTAGACCTAGATCTAACCTAGACTAATTATATTATTATAGTATTAGTATAGATCTTTAAAAAATATATTTAATTTAATATTTAAGCCTAGATCTTTTTGAAGAAACTATTACTACTAAAATACTATGATGATGATATGATGCTACTATATATATTCTACTAACTATATTTTATATTAAATTATATTCTATCTATATTAGGGATTTTGGTAAAAAAAACACTAATCATCTCATAAAACAATAAAAATAATATATTCTTGTAGAGCTCAACTAGATCTATACAGAGTTTCTTCCAGGCATATCTTCGGGTGGGCAACGCCCCCCCCCCCCCGAAAAAATTTTACCGCCCCCCCCCCCCCCCCCGAACGAAATGAAATTTATATAATTTATATATAGAAAATAAATATATACTTTTAACAGTGTCCGCCCCCCCCTAAGAAAGTCTGGAAGAAACACTGGGTCTATATGAAAACAAAACAAAAAAGAATTTCTGTCTAGCTCTATTAAAGTTTAATATTAAACTAAACTTTTTTCTAAACTATAATAATATATTATTTAATATTTTAGGGGACGGACTGGCCTAGCGGCTGGACTACTAACCTGTAAGTCTTGAGTCAGTGAGTTCGAATTTGGGTTCAAGTCCGTACACTGTCCCTGAGTCCACCCAACTCTGATTGGTACCTAACTTACGTTGGGGAAAGTAAAGGCGGCTGGGCATAGTGCTGACCACACTATCTCTATTCTCTTCATATGCCGAGGTCACAAAAACAAGTGAGCTCTTTCAACTTCACTTGCCCTATACTTATAGATCTAGTAATAATTATTATAATATAATCTACACACACTACTATAACTACTAGTATTTTTAGTAAAACTAACTAGTACTAGAGATCTAGTAGTATTCTAGTCCTCTACTCTAGTGGCTGTAGTCAGTAGTCTGTAGTAGTAGAGACCAAGGTTTAAAAAGGGAACTTTATTTAATATTTTGTTTAACATTTTGGCATTATGCCTATGCCATGCAGTTTCCCTCCACAGTAATTTCAACATTCAAGTTAAATTTACCTTTAACGTCCTCTAGTTCTAGTAGCAGTTATTAACTAGTTACTAGATAGTAACAGCCTTCCACTACTTTCAAACAAGTAGAAAGTAGCCATTTGTAAACTAAAATCAACGCATGCGTATCGGCTGTGTTGCTATAGAAAAACCTGGGATATGTTGCCACTCATTTATTTTGTTAACGTAGCTTTTACTTCGCAGTGTCCTAAGTGACGGATTTAAGTGAAGTCCAAAGTGAGGTCTTCTAATTTAGACATCCCCCTGCCACAAATAAGCTCAATTAGTCTAATAAAGCCCCCCCCCCCCCCACAAAGAAAAATTTTTACCGAAACTGGAACGTAAGTACTGCATTACTGTAATAGTAACATACTCCTCTCTTTCCTAAATATATAGTACGAGCCGACCCGCGGCGTATCATAAGCCGTTATTTAGTTGTTTTATTTTCTACTTTTCAGTAATACATAATTTGTGAATTCGACAGTACCAATGCTGCCACTGAAAATATTTGCTTTAAAACACTATCAGTAGCTCGTTAAGGGGGAAGGCTCCGGTAAAAAAAAAACTTTTTCAATACTCGTTAGAAAACAGTTATTTCTATACAGCTTTATTAAGATACATCCGCAAATGCATTTCCACTAAAAAAAATTGGTGAAAAAATCTTGGTAACTATGACAAAGGCGGCCATCTTGAAAAATTAACCCCTTCGTAGGTTTTCCACCATTCATAAAATATTACATTTTAAGCCCAATAAACAATCAATTCATAATCTTCTTCCATATTTTGGGGTAATCAGCTAAAAATTTTAAGTGCATATCTTCAAACTAATTTTTTATGAATTTTCGAAATTTGTGTCCGTTCAAAACACTTAACTTTGGGGAATTTTGGGGCATTAAAACTAGTGTTTTGAACGGACACAAATTTTGAAAATTCATGAAACACTGCCTTTGAGTGTGACGTTATTTATGGACGACCCGTATATCTAAAATGTTTACATTTAATTAATCGTATGTCCACCTTTGATTGATTTAGATCTGTTGCCGTTTCCGTAGCGCTTTTGTTTTTACATGGTGGGTTGCTAGCCCAAACCCAAAACCTTCCTCCTTTCCCATTCTGGACTTGGGACCAGACAATGGCGGAGTTATGAGGAATGAGGAGATGGAGATGGCTGGGCCATGTCCTACGCATGAGCAAAAAAAAAAAAGACGCTGAAGTGGAACCCACCCGGAAAGAGAAAGAGAGGAAGACCACTAGGAACATGGAGGGGGGAGATGGAAGAAGTACAGGCTACTGGCAAGACCTGGCATGAACTAAAGTGGCTCGCCCAGGACAGGGTGGAATGGCGGAGTGATGAGGATTAAGTAAGTAAGTAATGTCCACCTTGGCTACATGGTTGTTACGCCTCTGGACACTAATCCGTTTCCATGTATCTAAACTTAATAAACCGTTCGTATATTCAAAAGCAATACAGCTTTCTCGAAGCTTCGTGCTCAAATATTAAAGTCAGTGTACTACTCCTACTTGCAATGTATCGTATTTTGAGGAACAATACCACTGTATCGGTGGTGAACGGGAAAAAAAGTCACAGGAAAAAAAAACACAGAAAAAAAGTCACAGTTTTTGCTAGGAAAAAGTCACAGAAAAAAAGTCACAAAAATATTTTAAGAAATATTTTTATTTAATTGTTGATAATCGTTAAACTTATGGTGTTTATTGCCATGGGATGTGTTTTGTTTTGGTAGCATATTTATTAACATTAAAAGCATAACAGTAATAAGTAAAAATACTATAAATAAATTTACACAGCAATCTCAAATTTTGTTACGTGGGGCCTATTTAGTTAAATATGCGGTAGAAAAGATTAATTACAAAATAAATTTAGGAACATCATTGTGCTTTGCTTTTTTTTGTTTCCTTAGAGTAGACCATTCCTTGGCCGGTTTCTCCTCAGTCCGACCATATTGTGTGTCGTTGATGTTTTGCGTCAATGCCTTTGTACCCTGTGGGCTTTCTGTTTTGATCCTATGCTTTACTAATGAGCGTGATAAATGTGGGTAGTAAGAGTGGTTGAAATAATCAAAACTATTGTTGCGATGAGTTGAGTGCAGTTGAGTAAGTCAGATGAACACGTCTGTATTCCATTTCATGATAATTTAAAGTTAGTATTTAAAAGAACACGATAAAAACCGAGAACGTTGTAACATTCTGTTAAACGAGAAAAATGGCCCGTTGAGGAAGGGTACAACGGGCGCTAGGCTGATAGTGCTGTCTCTTTTCTCTAAACTAAAACCAACCCCCCCCCCCCCACACACCACCCCCACCCCACCCACCCCCCCACACACCACCCCCACCCCCACCCCCCACCACACACCACCCCCAACCCAACCCCTCAACCCCACACACCACCCCCACCCCCACCACACACCACCCCCACCCCCACCCCTCACCCCCACACACCACCCCCTCCACACACCGCCCCCCCCACCCCCCACCCCCCCCCCCCCCAAAAAAAAAACATGTCTACCGTCCCATTCAACGAAATATAATTATATACTTTTTCCAGTGTCCGCCCCCTCCCAGAAAATTCTACCCCCGCCCCCGAAAATTTCAAGTACCCCCACCCCTCTCCGGGGAGGAAAAAGTCTGAAAGAAACACTGAAACCAACCCACCCCCCCCACACACACCCCCCACACACCCCCCCCCCCACACACACCACCCCCCCACCCCCAAAAAAAACATGTCTACCGTCCCATTCAACGAAATATAATTATATACTTTTTCCAGTGTCCGCCCCCTCCCAGAAAATTCTACCCCCGCCCCCGAAAATTTCAAGTACCCCCACCCCTCTCCGGGGAGGAAAAAGTCTGAAAGAAACACTGAAACCAACCCACACACCACACACCACCCCCCCCCCACCCCCCACACACCACCCCAACCCCCCCCCCCACCCCCCCCCCCCACCCCCCACACCCACCCCTCCACCCCCCCCCCCCCCCCCCCCCCCCAAAAAAAACATGTCTACCGTCCCATTGCAAGAAAACCACTTTTTAGATTAGACACATTAATTAGGCGGTAATTTTATTATAGAGTATCGATGAGGAAATTTCTTTTGAGTTGTGGAGAGGGGGGGGGGGCTCAGACGTTCTTACGCGGGGGGTGGGGCTTCGCCCCTACCCGAAGAATTGTATGCAAGAAACTCTTCACGCAAACCATTTAGATTAGACAACATTTCCTTTTTTTCAATGTTTACGCGATAATCAATGACGTCATTTTACTGTGTGCACTCTCTGGTTTGAGATTATGTTCTACTCTACGCTAAATGTGTCGACGTCATATTTCGTTTTTCGAATTACTGTGCATGTTTTTATTTTGCTTGTGTTTTCTCTAGAGCGTTCTTGTCAGACAAAGCGTTCTTGTCAGACAGAGCGTTCTTGTCAGATAGACAGACAGCGAAACTATTAGTATTAACGAGAAAAATGGCCCGTTGAGGAAGGATACACCGGGCGCTAGCTTGATAGTGCTGTCTCTTTTCTCTAAACTAAAACCAACCCACCCCCCCCCACACACACCACCCCCACCCCACCCCACCCCACACACCACCCCCCACCCCCACCCCCCACCCCCCCACACACACCACCCCCTCCACACACCGCCCCCCCCCCCACACACACCACCCCCCCCCACCCCTCCACCCCCCCCCCCCAAAAAAACATGCCTACCGTCCCATTCAACGAAATATAATTATATACTTTTTCCAGTGTCCGCCCCTTCCCCGAAAATTCTACCCCCGCCCCCGAAAATTTCAAGTACCCCCACCCCTCTCTGGGGAGGAAAAAGTCTAAACTAAAACCACCCCACCCCCCACACACACCACCCCCCACCCCCCACACACACCACCCCCCACCCCCCCCCCCCCCCACCCCCCACCCCCCCCAAAAAAAAACATGTCTACCGTCCCATTCAACGAAATATAATTATATACTTTTTCCAGTGTCCGCCCCCTCCCCGAGGGGGGGGGGGGGGGGCTCAGACGTTCTTACGCGGGGGGTGGGGCTTCGCCCCTACCCGAAGAATTGTATGCAAGAAACTCTTCACGCAAACCATTAAGATTAGACAACATTTCCTTTTTATTCAATGTTAACGCGAAAATCAATGACGTCATATAACTTTGAGCACTCTCTGGGTTTGAGATTATTTTCTACTCTGTGCGCTAAATGTGTCGACGTCATATTTCGTTTTTCGAATTA